GCATTGTTATGGAGAAGAAGAACACCTTTCCGATTGACGAGTGAAGGGCGGTTCTGATGAAGGGCTTGATTTAAACGTTCCAGTTCCTGACTATAGATCTCTGGATTGCTGTGGATTGAGGAGTTCAATATGAATTACTCCTCTGATGTCCCACCAAATGTACAAGCATCACTTTCTGCAGATGGAATACAGGTTTTGTGGTCAGAAGTGGTTTTCGTCTAGGACTGAGCCATTGTTTTTAGCATTTAATATTCACAAAGAGAATCCATTTTTCATTACCGGTGACAATTTTGTCCATAAATGGTTCATCATGAGCATTACACGCCAGAAGAGACGTAGCAACATTCACACGTTGGAAACTATGATCATCAGAGAGTTCATGAGGCACCCAAACACCTTCTTTATGGAGTTTTCCCTTATTCCTTAGATGTTTACGTATTGTTTCATGAGAAACATGTAATTTCAGGGCCATTTCACAAGTGTGTTGCCTTAGGTTAGACTGAACAAGTGTCTTCAGTGCATCAATATCAATTCTAACATGTCGGCCCCTGCCAACACAGTTTTTAAGGCTAAAGTCACCTGAATGAAATTTACTGAATCATCATTGACACTTATGAATGTTCAAAACATTTCCATAAACTTCTTTGATATTTTTTGTGGCTTCTTGTATTCAAACAGCATTACATGCCGAATGTGTGTCTCGTCGTGTACCATCACTATAAGGGATTATAGTATACTAAACTTTACACATTATATAGGCTACACTAATGTGACGTTTAGGCAGTTCGTTTAACTATTACACTTGATGTACATTTTTTGGGGTGGTGGTTAATGAAAGTTTTCCAAAATGCAACATTAATTTCTTGATGACCTAATATATATATATATATCCTTCTTGTAAATTTGTTTATAAAAGAGCACTAACTATTATAATAGATTTCATAACAACATCTTTGTGAATGAAAAAAAAACATACAAAGCCATTTAAACTTCAAGAATGTAGCACAAACATATCATGAAAAAAGTTTTATTAAAGACGACAAATTTCACACGTTTTACACTGTAGCTTTAGATTTCATATAATCACATTTTTTGTTTTTTTTTTACAATACATTAACACTAAGAGCTGGGCAATCAGTAGAACCTGATAATCAATCACCAGGCTTATTAATAGATTATACTCAACTAATCAATTATTCTTGCACGATAATTGGATAAACCAAAATAATCAAAAATAGTATTGATCAGTTGATTATTTTCGTGAGTTGTAACACTAATCAATTAAGCTAAACAATGTTGATATAATTTAAAATAATAATGAAAAAATCATAATGGCAATATGAATGTCATTTGGTTAACTGGAAACACCAAATTTAATTAATTCATTGTTTCTTTGTACCATTCATCGATTTAATCATTTTTTTCAATTAACCAATTATTTTACGTGACTATAATCAATATAATCCGTGTTCGCAAGTAATCAATTAAATGAGTTAATTGCTCATCTCTAGTTAACACTTGTTTTTGCTACTGTAAGTGTTCTACAGTAATAAAATTCTAAAATAATGCCTTTCTGTGTGTATATTTTTGGAAATAAATTACATCTATACCACTCAAGAAAGGACTATTTCAAAATTAAAACTAACACTAAAAATTATAAATTTTATTTCTTATTTACCCAGAAAATCTGCAATGAGTTCATACTTGCTTCAATATTTTTTTTCCTTTCGATAAATTTCAAAGTAGTTGCACATTTTCAATGAATATGCAACACTTCAATCTTAACACTAATTTTGTTCTGGTAGCACACTGCTAAGTAAACTACATGTTCTATGTGTAGTAAGTAAGAGCTTAAATAAAAGTATCTAATGATATAAGTAAACTTTTACAAACCTCTTCAGCAGAAGACAGTTTTTTTACTTGCTGGAAGAGATGTGTTTCAACACTCAATAAAGAATGTCTAAGTTGTGATAAAGAGTCATTCATATCACAGAGTTGTTGCTCAACTTTGGAAATTCTGTCTTCTTCCTTGATTCCAAGGAGCCATGGCCTTACGTATTTCTATTTAAACAAAAGAAGTTATGAAACATATTAAAATATGTAAGCCAGAATGCACAAATATAACACAAAAAAACAGCAGAAAAACAGATGTAAAAGCAAACTTTTTTTTTGCACTTTGTAATTAGCTTTCATTAATGTTCTAAATAAAACGTTTTTAAATAGAAAAATCTTATATTTGCTCTAGATTATCAATGAGGACATTAAACCTAAGGTTTTATATTATTTCTAAAATATTTACTTTTGTCATGTCCTTAAAAATAAAATGGAAAGAAAGAATAATTCAGTGTTTATAATTCTCCCTTTATACAAAATTTATGCCTAGTTGATTCCATATGACCATAATGTAAGCAATCAGGACTGTGATTGTTTTTGTTGCAATTTGTTGGCTACATTTTATTATAAGTATTGTTATTGATGTCTTAGCTTTTTCACTCAAAGATATACAATGGTTAACTACACATAGCTGACCCTCATCCTTCATTTTGAACTGACAAACTAGAAGGAAGGTTATTACTCTGACACAACAGCATCCACCACCAAGTGTGGGGCTACACTTGTCTGAGCAAATAGTTGGATTTCACTACCAGTCTTATAAATATAATTTAAGGACAATGATGGACCTATTGATCTATCTAGGCCACTATAATGAACTCTGAAATAAAAATAAAACACTCAAAGCTAGCTTTATCAGTCAAGTATTTATCAAACCTTCCTTTAAACTCACTTAAATTTACTGCCTCCATAACATCCAAAGGCAACCACTACTGTTAGAAAAATGAAACTGTCTTAGCTGAACGTGACTCCTACCTTGTCAAAATTTATATTTGTGTCCCCTAGCACTACCGTTCGCCATTAAGTACAAAAATAGATGATACATCAACACTATCAATTCTCTTTAAAATCTTAAACACATCAATCAGATACCCTCTAACTCTTCTTTTTTAAAGAGAAAACAATTTCAGAGATCTTAACCTATCCTCAAATAACAACCTTTCTATTGCTAATATCTTATTAACCCTACTTTGAACCTTTTCCCAACAATTCAATGCCTTTTTAAGGTAAGAATCCCAAGAGTGAGCATAACATTCCAAACGTGGCCTAACCAATGACCGATATAAAGCAAAGCATCTTTTACCAGACTTTTAAAAATTTTCATACCACTGATATAAGATTATTAGGCCTATAATTACATTTCGCTTACCCTTAGTGTTTTTATATTTTCAATAATTTTTTTTTCATAAAGTTTTTGATCTTCTATAATCCTCCAAATCTCCCACCATTGCAGTCAATTTAAACTTTATAATCCTTTTATCCTTTATACCCTTTGCGAGTCAACCCGGTTTTTACTCGCAGATACTTTTTTTTTACAATAAAAAACATGCCTATCTTGAACAATAAAGAATTTATCTAAAAAGTTTTTCCACATTTGATCAGTATTTCCAACCAATTTAGTTAACCAATTCATATCAAGTAATTCTTGTCTCATCCCTTCAAATTTGTTTTAACTTAGAACTAAAATCTCATTATTCCTTATCTCCATAAGCAGCAAAACATTGAATCTGATAACTTACACCCACATGCTCTTCCATCTCCACCCTGTCAACTATTTCTATAAGAAAAGTTAACATTAAAGCTAAAATACATTTTTCCAGCAGGTTCCCTAACAATAGTTGAAGAAAGCCATCCTGAATACTTTCTAAAAACCTGTCTCCCTCATGATATGACAAACATTTCCCAATCTATAAGCTCAAAATTAAAATCTCCCATAATTATAACCTCATTAACAGCCGATTTCTTCGTCTCACTGTAGAGTTTCTTATTAACTTCATTAGTTTCATCTAGTGGACAGTAACAAATTCCAACTAAAAGCCTTCTCCCCTTATAACCACAAACAGAAACCAAGATTCAACCTTAATTGTTATTATCTTTGATATCCTCAACTTCAACAGGATGTAACTCATATTTTAGATACAAAGCCACTTCTCCCCACTCTCTCTGGTACACTATCCCCTTTAAACAAACTACAACCCTTTATTTCAAAAAAATTCCTGTCATCAAAAATGTTTACATTTAACAAAGTTTCAGCTACTACCATTGCATCAAAATCCTCTGTTCCAACCAGTGTCATAAGGTCATCCATTTTTTTTTTTCTTACAACTTTAACATAATAATAGTTTAGCAAACTGCTTTTGTACTTAGTTCCTACTTTATAATTTTCTCAACATTTTTTCATCATTAATCTGGCCCTAATTACTTTCTGGCCCAAATTTAAAACTGCCCTTTATGGGTTGTTAACCATTTTTATCAAGGGAGCTCTGGCTGTTCTGAACTTTCTGGACAGTTTGTTGAAACATAAAATTATCAAAAACCTATAACCCGAGCTTTTTCAAAAGTGCTCGAGTTATAGGGTTTTGATAATTTTATATTAAGAGCTTCTTGAACCTACTTGTTTTCTAACATCATGAGTTTGTTGAAACAATTATGGTACCAATACAAATTTCAAACTTAATGAAATTTAATTATCTCAACTGGAAAAAAGTATCTAAGTGTGTGTGTGTGCACATCACTTTTACAGAAAAGAATTTGTTATTGTTCTATTTACTTTTAATACTGAATTATTCTACTAATGAGAGGGGTATTTTTTTTTCCAAAGAAGTCTGTTTTTATCTCTACTTCAGATATTAAAGAAAAAATACTGCTACAAAGGTTATACAGTCCACAGTCAGTTGATACAATCATTACATATTTTAGCTAGATTACTCACATTGCAATCAAGATCTCATGAACATACCACCAAACTTTTTATAAATGTTTCTTAAAGTGTTTAAAACCAACCTTATAAATGTAGTAAACTCCATAGCATGTAATTCCAATTAAAACTGCACCTGAATAAAATGTTTGCCACTTCTGCCATGCTGATAAATGGGGTTCAAAATTACCTACAAACAAATATAACAGAAGAAAGAGTTTCACCACACATAAATTTAAAGGCATTTGTCTAATAACAAAAACATAAACATCAATAGAATTGCAATTAAAAAAAGCAGCTAAAAGCTCAGGTTTTCAAGAAGCAACTACCCTGATAAACTCTGATATTTAGCAAAGAAACAAAGGTCACATCAGTTATCACAAAGAACACAAAAAAAAAAAAGACCTTCAATTTAAATTTTATTTTGTACTCTTTTTACAAAACATCCCTAATGAGTCAGTTTAAAAAATTAGTCTTACTGAAAAGTGTTGTTGTTATGAAACCTAAAAGGAAGACACTTTAGCATAATAAATGATCAAAGTAGTAATGTGTCTTACAGTACTTAAAATAGTATTTATCTAAGACTTTGTTGATATCTAACCAGCCTAATGACTTTTGCCATTAAGCAAAAGCCTCCTAGACACTAATTTTAAAGGCAGTACAAAACACTTAATATTACAGTTTTAAATGTTATCATTTTCAGCTGAACCGACTAGTCCTAGTATTGAACAAAAAGTCTTCTTGGCACTGACTCATGGAAGACAAAAAAAATAAAGATTTAAAACACTTTTTCCCTACCTAGAATCTGAAATATTTAATGGATTAAAAATATTTGCAGTCTATTGTAAATTTATCACTATTATATATAAAAAAAAAAGACTAAAATTTATCAGTGGCCAAGGAACCTGACCTTTCAAAATGACATGAGATCAGATTACATAACAATACTTTTGCTAACAATATTCTTGGTCGAATTAGATTTATATTATTTCTTTTATTTTTGTGCATTATTTGAATAAACTTAACAATATTATTCAATAAATAAAACTTTGAGTCACATGAATAATTTGTCATCACCTATCATTCTCACTAAACTTAACTCTGTTTACTTGATGTCTTTTCATAGGTGTGGATGTCTGTAGCTTTCAAACAAATATAATATTAAAACATTTTCTGAAATGAAAAGAACATCTGAAGAAACAAAATAATTCCCAGGTATGTGGCTTGTTCCTCTAAACTTCCCATCAGATTCAGTTGTTCATATCTGCATAAGCTATGTCCAATTACTTTCCTGTTAAAGCAGAAATTATTTTTCATATCACTTTATTCACTCTACATTGATGTAAATAGGTTATATTGTACTCTATCCAATTGCATTTAAACTTTGCCTGTTAACTATTTTCAAAGCACAGCTTCATTAATAACACAGACCTGCGATGATTTTATTGTCTTGGAATTTTTACCTGTTCTACAATAATTCCTGTATGCTGAATCCAAAAATATCCATTTTTCTCCATCACGTAGAGATATTTCACAAAATGTTGTATGTACTTTTACATAATTGAATCATTTTCATTGAAATTGGGTCACATTTAGTTATGCTGAAAATATTGACAACCACTGGCTATAGATTTCTCTAAACCAATTGCAACGTGAGAGTCTTATCGATCGTTCTAAAACCCAAAGATAACAATCATAATAATAAAAAATGTTCACTGTGGTAAACAAAATAATAATTAGATCTAAGTAAAAGTTGTTTTTCTTCCTGATTTGTAAAAAATCCTTACACGATAGAAAAAAAAAATGAATATTATTTTCGAAATCTGCTTAGCTGAATTATGGAAAATCCATTATTAAAACCAAAACAACTTTTATGAAGTTTAAATTTGCAGGCCCGCGTAGTTATTCAGATAACATACTGTAAGATCATAAAATGTGTGAGAACTATAGCCTATGGTAATAAAACCAGAGAAGGAGAAGAAAAAATTACGTAAAAAACAGAACATGCTTAATTATATTACAAAAGGATTATAGTTTCTTAACAAATATAAACCTATGTTTTAGGATGGTCAGAAAGATTCTAAAAAGTCAATAATTCCATTATTTACAAACAAGATTGTGCAGAAATAAAAGTTAACATGTCAAGTTTAAAATAATTTTGAGTGGAAATTGTTGAAGCAGAGTAAAAATCATTATTTACTTGCATTTTAAAATTTGATTTGCAGATGTACATTCAACACTCCAGGTAGAGTTAAAATCATAATAATAAATATTCTGTACTGCATATAAAAATAGCATTTTGAATAAGCTTTGTAAGTTGGTAAGTTCTGGATGAGTAGCAGGCCCTCTTGGCACTGACAGGTGGCAGACAAACATTAGACTTAAAATACCGTTTTTATATGGCTATAATCTTTAATCCATAATGGACTAACTGTAAAAAAAACAACATTTGCAACCTAAAGTAGTTATGTTTATTATTCAAAATAATGAAGTCAAAACTGAGAACAAATAATGTAAATTAAGTCTGATAAAAATGTGACTTTATTTACCCAAGATAATCAAATACAACCAAGAAAAGATCAGGTAACTGAATCTCTTTAAAAGTATCATTAACTGTAAAAAAAATTACTCAAGTTTACCTTGCTGAAGTGGCATAACTGTCTTTGGTTGAAGCGACAAAGTGTCTTCACCTTGTCTATTGTAAGCATTATTTCCATCAGTACCAGCTCGATCAATGGCAAAGTCAATTTCTTCATTTGTAAGTCCTAGGGCCAATCAAAATCATATTAATAACCTCCAATCAGAACAGTCTCTTACTCCACTAGAAGAATTTTTCAGGTCTTTATCTTAAAAGACTAGATATATTAACCTCTGGAAAGAAAATGTTTTTTGGAACACAAACTTAAACATCCATGTGGTGAACACAATCAAAATATGATCAAATTATTGTAAGAAACTTTAGATTAAATTACATAACTTCTTCCTTCTTTACTATAAAACACTACGCTGTTGTTTTAAATCTTCCACCATCTATACAAATGGTTACTATAAAACACTATGCTGTTGTTTTAAATCTTCCACCATCTATACAAATGGTTACGATAAAACACTACGCTGTTGTTTTAAATCTTCCACCATCTATACGAATGGTTACTATAAAACACTATGCTGTTGCTTTAAATCTTCCACCATCTATACGAATGGTTACTATAAAACACTATGCTGTTGCTTTAAATCTTCCACCATCTATACGAATGGTTACTATAAAACACTATGCTGTTGTTTTAAATCATCCACCATCTATACGAATGGTTACTATAAAACACTATGCTGTTGTTTTAAATCATCCACCATACAAATGGTTATTATTCATACACACACCTTTTTTAATCAAAAAAGCTCTTTTCTGTGACAAAGGACTTGCTTTCACTTTAGGATTTTGAAGGAAGTGAACAGCTGTTGCTATCTGAAACACAGAAAATAACACTTTATGCTTCTACAATTATAAGACAGAAGTTTGAAGACATACACCATATCCATACAAATTCGCCTACTTTAAACAAAACGATGTCTTAAGACACCCCATA